AACTCCATAAATATTTTCCAAGTGTATTTTTTACTATTGACAGTATTTTTTGGTGTATTTTCTTCAATGATTTTGTCAATTGCCGCATCATTTTGAACACCAAAGCGAGGAAGTGACATTTTCGAAATAAATTGAATTACTGAAATGTCAAACAACTTTATTGTGTTGGTTGCTTAGCAATGTCATGACATAAGTGATAACTACCCGTGAAAACTATCCATGGGTAGTTATCACTAAAAAAATGGTTTCATTGGTTATTTCGACACACATGACTAGAAATAGACAAATTTGATAGGATAATTTTTTTGGCAAAAAATTTTCAAGTTAGTACTTCACGAGATTTCACAATATTGTTTATCAAATGCACGTTATTTAATCTTCTCACTCCACAATACTTCAACACCTGTCTTAAATAGATTACAACATCACGGCTTTCGGCCGTTCACACACACATACCCTACTTTTTAATATGGAACAGGTAGTTTGGGAAATTATTCAACCCACACGAGGGTGGCAACTACTGAATTTCATCTTTACTGCCAGATAGTACTGGGTCGAGCTCGCAGAGTTATTTTATTTTTATTTTCAATACAGTGGATCGTGCGACATCTGAATGGTGTATGAAATCTTGTGGATCTGGGGAAATCTGGCAACACTGTCTTATGGAGATTCCCATGTTGGGACAAAAATTTGCAAAACGGAGCTTGACTTTTTTCTCCAAATTTACATGGTATTTCCCATAAGGCGGTGTTGCCATTTGCCCCATGTTCTCTTAGTTATTCTACTCATATATGACAAGCAATGCCTCTCTCTATTATTAAGAAATGTTTAAAATAATCTCTCAAAAACAAGTAGATGACCTGCATACACTAATTCACTCCAAGCTTTTGATTTTTTCAGTTTTAAGAATTGCGTATCAAAGAAATGGCGTAAAAAGGTTAGAAGTTCAAATATATTCTTTTCTTGAAGTATATTTCACTATCAATATCCTTTAAGGAACAATTAAATCAACTAAACAAACTTCTGAGATAAGATTTTTTTTCAAATAAGTTGAATAATACTAATTGGGGTACGATGGACTCTTTTGTGTTAGCAATTATTATCAATTAATTTTGGTTGTGGTTGCTTTGTTATTGATGTGGTTTAGGTATTAATAAACTAGTGTCAACAATAAATATTGGTATTAATTTCAATAGTCTTACAATCCGCTCCGTCGCATTCACGGTCGAGCCCAAATAGCGAGAGAGGTGCCAAGATCACTTCTATGACAGCTCCCCTTCGCCGTGTCTTTGATCCGCCTAAAAAGGTACCACATCATGAATGATAGAAGAGCGGTATAGTTGGTATACCCTTTATACCAAATATAGATCTCACAGAAGTGAGCCAAGAATACATTTTTGAGAAAATTTCAACATGAAATAACTCCGAAACTATTGGCGATACTAAAAAATTGTATTATAAATTAAAAATCTCATGGTTCTTGCAAAAAATTTCTTAATTTCTCAATCAATATAATATTACGGCAATTAATATTCATTATATATGATTATAGAAAACTCTGGGTCAGAGTTTTCGAATAATATGTTTCTAAAATCGAATAAACATTCTTGACGCAAACATGAATGAGTGTTTTTTTCTATCCTGCTCTTCTTTGACTTAATTGAGTTGATTTTTATTTTACTGGAGTGATATGAATGAAACTTCATGATTTTATTGCTGCATATGGATTTTGGGCACCTAGTTATCAAAGTATTTTGCTCAGTTCTTATGACTCTGGTATCGAGGAATGGGATACTGTTATTTGTTTACTTTTCAACTGTGAACTGAATATTTTTATCATATGAATTGAAAACTGACAAAACTGTCTCAATGTTATGAGATGGTACTAGCAAAATCGAAACATCCACAAATCGTATATTAAAATTCATTCGTGAAACACATTCATTCAATAACTCATCTGAAACATAATTTGTTAAAATCGGTGAAATATTCGAACCCATTTAATGATCAGAATGATCAGAATAGTACTTATCTATTTGTGTTGGTCAGCGTCATCTTCACTAGGTTAATCAACTTCGGAACACTGTATTTCTCAAATAACTGATATATTTTGTAAAATCTAAAAAACTGCATGTATATTTAGCTGCATGTTCTACTGTGGTTTTTCTTTTTCAGAAATCCGGCTGTAGTTTTCATTTCTTCCTTCCAATATTAACTGTGACCTCTCTTCGATTTGAATCGCCACGATTTTATAAGTGACATCTAGCAGTGTTAAATACACCTCGGTAGTTCTCGCATTTCTTACTGTCCTCTCTTTTCAGTAAGGGTTATATACAGCCTGGTGTCTAGAAAATTTTTCTTCATTTCATATATACTTCAGCTATTTCTATATGGATTGTTTTTACGTTATAACTTATTATAATTGTATTGTAATCTGACTTATATCTCTGTTCTGTAGTTGGGTGTAACCTGTAGAACAGGTTATACCCAACTAGATGATCTTTTTGTTATCACCAATGGTCCAATGGTACATTGTTTTCACCGAACCGAAAATCTGAAACTCTAACAGTCAACAAGATGAAATACTGTCAAACCCAACAAATGTTGCAGAAGACCGTTGTCAAAGGTTCAAAAAAAATAACTACAAAAAATATTGCACTTTCTCCAAATTTTCCACCCTATACACGTTCAAAATGTGCTCATGCATGATTACGGCGCGATGCTGAGTTAAAATTCAACTTTGCTTTTATTCAATACATTTTCAAGTTTTCAGTATTTTCATATTCCAAAATCTATCAAAAATTTGCTAATTTATTAAAAACGTTAGACTAAATGTGAATGATTATATTTCAGATTACGCTAAAGGACTAGAAGACAGTCGTTCTACAATCAACTAGGAACACCCGGTATAATCTGCAGGCTAGACAAGAGTAGATAACTTCCGTTTATGTCTGTTAACTTTTTCCACGTGTAGTAATTTAAGTCATTGTATTGTAATGCAACAACAAATGACTGTCTGGCCTACTTATTAACCCGATGCTGTCTATTCATGTTCATTGAGAAATGAATTTCTTGTTTTTCAACATTCAATATTGGTTATTTTGATAGTTATTCAATGAATTTCCTATTTTATTACCTATGCAATACAGAACATCCTTCTGTAGTTGAGACTTGATGCTCACTATTTTATTCCATTGGTAATAATTTTAACACAATTATTTGTCAAAACTTACAAAGTGCTAGTCAACGAATTCAAATAAAAATTGCATTTAGAAAATCTGTAATTTAAGTTTTTTCATGTAATCACTATTCCACATTCTCCATCAGATGAGTACAGGAATATTCATAAATGTGATTCATACATAGTAAAGAATAATTTAATGAATCCCCATTCATACAGATATTCGAAAAGTGAACTCATTCAGTATTTCTTCATATAAGCATAGGTAATTGTTGAGGCATTTTAGTAAGTAATGTCTGCCTTACGCGAATGTCACGTATGGGAGCGGCAGAAACTTTTACCTATCCATGATAAACAAGAAATACGGATGTAAGTTTTGAATGTTCTGTTGTTTCCATCGATGACGTGTCATCTCTCATGCACATTCATTCTCAGATTATTCCTTTGAATAAAGTTGATTTTTTTGGAATTGTTTGCTTCCTTCCTTTCTTAGGAAAATTCTCACATATGAAGATGAGGAATTAGCAAGCCAAAACCTTTCTTTTCCAAAAATTAATCTTTACTAAAACTATACCTCTTTCAATTCAAACAAGATTCCTATGGCTGAGATTCAATCAAATAAATGAATGAATGTCATTACATACTGTCATCGATAACATGAGTAGATTGAACTCATTTGTGACTTAAAGTCATAATTTTACAAATGAACTGAATGATTCTTTTTATAATGTTATCCGGATTTGATACTGAAGAGGCGATAAGGCAAGTGTCTTACGCCGAAACATCGGACATTTACAGTGTCCCATGTAAAGGCGGATTTAGATCAGACGAGCGAATGTTCATTCTATCCCCACTCTCTTAAATTTGTTTAGTGCAAACAGACCGAGAGCATTCTTTCGTTGTTCTATGGAATATTCTAAGAATGCTCGCTCGTTTGATGAGCGTGCGACCAGTTGCTTAGAGCGTTCTTGGGTGTTCGGACTTGCTTGCTCCCCGGAGCGGTCTCTTCAAAGCGTTCTTGTGTTCTAGTGGTTTGAATACATACTTATCGATTTGATTATGGATTGGTCTCAAGAAAAATGTCTATTAATGATAGAAGCCTACAAAATTCCAGATGTCTGTGGGATCCGACTTTTGAACACTATAAAAATACAACTCGCAAACAAGATTCTTGAGAGGAAATTGCAAATCTACTAGAATGTAATGTTGAAGAAGCAAAGAAAAAGATGGACTCGCTTCTTGCATCTTACCGCCGAGAAAGGCAAAAAACAATGACTACGAAATCAGGTAGCGGTGCCGACAGCGTTTATAATTCCAAATGGTTTGCATATAAAAAACATGCACTTTTTGATGGATAAATATAAACCAAGGAAAACACTAGATTTCGACATGAATCAAAATAAAATCATAGTAAGTAGGTTCTCATTTATGTTTATTTATTATTTAATAAGTACATATAAAACCATTTCGGAAAATGTGTCAGTAGAAATTAATTATGCAATATTGTTTTGCCATGGCAAAATATTCGTGAAATTAAAATAGTCTGAAAATTCATATCGAATATTTTCACATAGTAAAGTATGTCTTCGTCCAATGTTGGATAATGGGAGAAATGATGATAAAGCCTCCATATTTCTCCATTGACCGGGAGTAATGACGCCATCTTCAATTCTGTCCATAATGCCCGGTGAATTGTATAGCTTTCTTGAAGCTTTCCTTTTCATTAAATAGTTATGTAGGTACACGCAGGTCATAATGACGAGAGAAGCTTTATCTGGTTATAGTAGCAAGGGTTTTTGCAATACACGAAAAACTGCTGAAAGTATGCCAAACGCATTTTCTACTGTTCTTCTTGCTCTTGATAAACGATAATTGTAAATTCGTTTTTCAGATCCCCTGGCATCAGTACCAGGATATGGCTTCATGATGTGTCTTTGCAATGGGAATGCGTCATCTGCTACAAATACAAATGGCACATTCTGTTGTCTTTCTGGAAGGCTTTGATCATCAGGCAAATTCAGTTCACTTTTTGTAGTTTCTGATAGAAAGTAGTGTTTCTGAAAACTCCGTCATCTGATATTCTTCCCTGACAACCAACATTGGCGAATATAAAATTATAGTTAGCGTCTACAATGGCCATTAATACCACACTAAATGTAGATTTATAATTAAAAAAGTTGCTTTCGCTCTTAATAGGTGCTTGTATGATGCAGTGCTTCCCATCTATAGCACCGACACAGTTGGGGAAATTCCACTTCTCACTAAATTCCTGAGCAATTGATAGCCATGCATCTTCTGTTGACGGGGTCTGAAATTAATAAAAACTACTTTAGGGTATATATAAAAACTAAACTGTTTTTTAGATTCTAGGGTATACATAAACTAAACTTTGTTTAAGGTTCATGAACAGGAGAATGAGCGAAATGAACAAGGAGCTACAGCGCTGGGCCCTAATGGAGGTACACAATCAGACTCGACAACACATCCGCAACCGGCAGCTTCAGTAGGAGCAGGCAACACGAAAACACAATCGCAACCATCAACTTCCTTGGGATCTGGTCACACGACAATACCACCAAAAAAATCCAAACCTGAGGACCCTCGAGTAGTCGAAGCCTATCGTATTTTAAAAGATACATATGAATCAAAGATAAGGGACAAGAGTCAAGCTTTTGGAAATCATGTAGCTTCAAAACATCGTGAATATTCAAACCAGACAAAAGCATACGTTGAACATTATATAAATAACATACTGTTCGAAGCTGATTTGGGGAAATTTGAGTTTAGGTCAAGTTCAGCATCAACACCCATGTCTTCATATTCGGACAGTTCACAAAACACACAACTGCATTCTGTAATAACAGATCAATCACAAGCCAACGAAATAACAGTATTGGACAACAGTTCACAAAGTACTATAAACACAGGCCAACAATTACACATCCCGGATGATCCCCTAAGTGAATAAACTACAGGGTCTTTAGTGTATTACCTTGACAATTTCAAGTAACGTTTCTTTTCTAATATCTTTTTGTGTTTTCAGAAAATATTACTGAGTACTTAAGTTACTAAATTGTTTATTTTTTCAATACAAGTCTTAAAATTAATGCGTATAACTTTATTTACTTACTTACCTTAGCGTATCGCAGCACATACTTCAGATTTAACATTACATATTGTGGATTTGGAAATTTTGGTAAAATACATCAGGCTTTCATAGGAATCTCCAGTTGCCAAAAATCTTAAAGTCACTGCTAGCCTGTCATACGCAGGAATCGAGTCTCTAAAATTCGTATTTGATTTCCGAATTTTGTCGCTGACCAGAGGTAATAAATGGTTAAAATCCTCTGACGCCATTCTACAAAAATTGTGGAAGTGACCACTTTCTTCTTGTTCTTGCATATCAGACAATATTTCACCTACATTATCCACTATCCTTCGTTGCATTAAATTTGTCACCCACCAACGTCTCTTCCTTCTTTTCTTCTTGAGTGTTTGAGACAGTATAATAAATGCAGCACTTGCAATTATAATATTGCTGTCTGAGTCGGACATAGTGAAGCACCACCACCCAAAGAATTGACACAAATGAGGTATGAGCATTCGTTCGATCTAAACATTGTACAGAATTCTAGTTCTTGGTTCTCATTCTTGCTCGTTGATATTTTGATGTAAACAATGAAAGTACCTTTCGTAGATCAAGAAAGAATGCTCTTGTTCTAGCTCTACCTCTTTGTTCGTTTCATTTAAACGCACCTTAAGTGAAATTTTATCTTTCATTTACTATATTGAGTAGCAATCCTGTGATCTTATTCGATTTCTTAACGAATGTTTGGAGTACAAACCGAGTAGAGAAAAGTGTCTTTGTATATTTCAGTGTTCACTTCTCCCAGTTTGTATTTGAAAGTTACTTCTTTGCATGATCTGCATATGAATATTACTGGAGTTTTTTCCAATACCAAACCGTTATTTTAACACCTCGACACGTGTTTCGATCACCTAGTTATTATCTTCAAGAGGATGGTCAAGCTAATTATACCTGCGTCTTGAGTGTCTTAAATTAATTTTACAATATGTCCTTATCTACTAGTCTTACATAAATTTTACAATGTGTCCTTATGTAATAGTAAGGTGAATCTAATAACTGAAATATTATAAGCTATATGAGTATGTTCTGTCAACAAACCTTTCACTACGATTCTACTGAGAGTGATTCATATAAAATTATACGGTCCACGAGTGTTGTCCCTATTCTAGCTCTTTGTGATGAGGAATTTACGGCGACACTATTAGATGCAAAAGTATCAGAGACACTTGGGCTAACTGGAACGAAGGAGTAACTCTGTCTACAATGGAGAAACAAAAATGTCATGTTTGAAGAAAATTCCGTTCGTTTCTGAAATTGATGATGACAGCAAAATTTTTACTACGAAAAGGGTCCAAACTGTCACTCATATATCGTTACTCGAACATCTTAAGAAATTTCCACATCTAAAGGGTGTTCCGTTAAAAGATATCGATCACGAAAAACCTTCGCTGCCTATTGTCTTACAAGTATCAAATATACATTTGATACTTGTAAGACAAATAAGAACCGGCCCAGAAAATTTCCCTGTAGCCAGTAAATGTCAGTTAGGTTGAGTTTACATGGACCAAGTCCAAATAGCAGGGAAAACTGTTCCAAAGCCCATACTTTACACATTTGGGGAAAAGAAACGACTGATGAAAAGCTGCAGAAGATGGTAGAAAAATTGTATCTGACTGAAACATTTGGCACTTTGATCGCAGCCAACCAACCACCTCGTGAAAGTTCACGGCCATTAGAACTGATAAGAAACACCATAAAGTATACCCGAAAAATCTATGAAATCGGTTTACTGTGGAACATCGATAACATACAACTACCTGAGAGTAAATTCATGGCACTGCAAATCGAAAGAAAATGTCGTCTGAACGAAAAATTTGCAAAGGAATATTGCAAGAAAATTATGGAATATGAAGAAGAAGGATTCATAAGGAAGTTGAGCTTAGAGAAAGAGAATATTGAGAATCCTCATCTCTGGTATCTTCCTCATTTCACTGTAGAATGTCTCAAAAAGCTAAACACAATCAGGCTGGTCTTTGATGCTGAAGCAAAATCAAAAGGTATGAGCTTGAATGATGCTCTGGTCCAGATTTGTTCCAGTCATTGACTGCTATTATATAGAAATGTCGACAAAGGCGATTCGGTTTCTGTGGAGATATTCGAGAGATGTTCTATAGAGTAGGAATACAAGAACGAGATAGATGCGCCCAACGATTCCTTTGATGGAATTTGGAAAGCGACAGACCCCATGATTTTTTGAGCAACATTTTCACCGCTCAATTCGTAAAAAACTCGAATGCTGAGGAATTTTTCTACGAATCCAGACATCCGAACAGTTATAATCAAGAAACTCTATGTAGATGACTACTTGGATTCAAAAGACACTGAAGAAGAAGCACTAGAAACGATATCAGAAGTATGCGAAGTCCAGAAAATTTCGGGATTTATAGTAGTCAACTGAATGACAAACTGCCGACTGATTCGGGATGAGCTAGCTGATAATATGTTACTGAAGGCTACAAAAAATATATATCGATGATACTTCCTTACATCAAATATTAGGATTATGGTGTGGGACCCCATCAACGACGTGTTTTTCTTCAGACTAGCTTCACAAAACTTAGTGTCGGAACAACCTACAGAAACAAAGGTTTTGAGAGCTTTGATGTTGGTATACGACCCGATAGGTTTGAACTCTACTCGATTGGGATGATTTGTTACCTGAAGATCTTTTAATTGCTTGGCAAGAATCGTTGAGTGACATGGAGAAAATTATAGGGAACAAAATTCCAAGATGCTATAGTTCATTGATTCCATCAGCATTACGAATCGAAATTCACACATTCTGTCATAGTAGTGAGAAAACATTCTCAGCAGCTAGCTTTCTTCGTGTTATTGGAGAAGACAGAGCTGATGTTTGTGTTATCTCAACGAAAACGACAGTTTCTCCTGTAAAACGTCGAGGCTGAACTCCAGGCGGCAGTGATGGTGAGTCGGCTATCTTATGCAATAAGGAAAGAACTCGAGTTTCCCATAGGTGAAATGTTTTATTGGTCCGATTCATCATGTGTCTTGAATTGGAAACGAGAAGACGGAAGGAATTACACACCGTTTGTATGTTGTAAATGTGCAATACAAAATGAAAGGATTTTCAAATATTTCAACTGGGGTGGTATATCAAAGAAGGATTAGTCTATTGACTGCAATATCATGAATGGTTCAGTTACTCACAGACAATATATCAATGCATACCACAATTGAAAAATATGGGCGTGGAAGATGTGGTGTGAGCCAATTGCCAATTGTTGGAAGATCAGGTGTTGAATTCATTCTCACCCCACATGGTGACATTCAGAATAAGTGGTTGCAGAATGTCGGTGAATCTGTGGACGGTGGAGACTCTGTGACCAAAGGATATGATGACAATCACATTAGAGAAACTAAGGAGTTAACCCTGAAGGCTGTTCAAAAATCCATTGTACCAGTGCTTTGTGACATCAGAGAATACATTGATTCAAAATATACCGAACTGCGATTTATCACAGTCAGCCTTTAAACCTCAACATAAACAGTAGAAACTTATATCACCACCTTTAAGAATTCATATATAGAGGAGTGAAATGAGTAGTACAGTTTGTGAAAGAAACGCATAAGCCGGCACGTCGGAATTTTTTCCGTCGAAAGACAATAAAAAACATGGATTCGCTGGAAATGCAATCATTTGCTAAAGAAAATGACGGTCATAGGTACATCCTAATAGTAATCAACTGTTATTCGAAAGATGTATGGTCAAGACAATTGAAAAATAAAATTGATAATCATCAATTTTAACTCCATAGCTACAGTAACTAAATCTAGTTACTGTAGCTATGGAAAGAGTATTGAAAGATGCAACGCATGTCCAAAACAACTTACAATCTGATGACGGTATCGAGTTCTATAATTCAAAATAATCCTTTTTAAAAAGCTGCAATTACGGAACGCGTTATCATGACGTAGTAATAATTAAGCAATTTATTGCAATCAACATATATTAGAAGCCAAAGTTTGACAAAGTAAAGCAGAATTTTCATTTTGATTACGCTGGTAATCCATTTTCGTATATATACTGTGTGACTCATTTAAGATTGAAGCACCCTTAAAAAATCTTTATTTCCCAGCCGATTTGAATGATTATTTTTGTATCAGTAGGAATTCAAAAGTCTACTAGGATACCACATTTCATGAATTATTTGTCATTTCCAGGGCCAACTATTCTTATTTTTCAAGGCCAAAAATAAAAAAAAATTATTAGCGATTTTTAACAAAAAATCTGACTACATCACTAGATTCGTGACGTTTACGAATGGTCTATGTCAAAGTTACGAATGAATACATTCAATAAGTTATAAGGGAATAAAAATAGATCAACCCATCACTTCAATTTCAGAAGTTTCATCTAAGTTCTGACTAAACCACTAGATCAGGGAGGTCTCGAGATATAACTGTTCAAAAATTTCAACATAATCTGTTCATCAATGAAAAAATTATAAGGGAGTAAAATTTTAATATGATTCTAGCAAAATTCTGACTACACCACTGCTCCCGTTCACTTTTTTGTTCATCTGGTACCCCTCAAAAGAAAGTAATTGTGATTATATGCCAGGGATGAGTATATACGCAACATGTGTATTTACCTCAAATTGATCAATATTTCACGAAATATGTTGTTGCGTGTGCGCAATATTGGCTCTAAATGGGTTAATGGAATGAGCAAGTAGGCTACGACTAGTTTATCATCTATTTGTTCAGAATTCAAGAAAAAATTTAAATTATACGTATTTCTGGAGATATTTACCGAAGTGAAAGAGAATATTCAATGAAAGATACCCAAATCGTCCAGCCACAAATAATAGCACAGTGCATAATATTAACCAAGTATTCAATCGGACTGGAGCAGTATCCACGTATATTTTGAAGAATAATATACGAAGAAGGAATGGAAATAATCAGACTATATTAGATTATTTCAGGAATAATCCAAATAATAGTTTGT